TTTACCTTTCCCTACATGTGGGATAAAAGACGTTCGATGACGACTTCATTGTTTGATGATTTTCAGCCGGTTGTTTCAAGAGGAATAAATACAAAAGTACAAGATATTTTTTTTTTGTATTTTTATGTATTTATGAGGTAAGATTAAAAAGTTTGATTAATTTTTTGGACTTATCAATATTAAGGGTGTGTATTAGTAATTGTTTCTATTTCTATTAAAATTATTATGCATTGTCTTTAATTTTTAAAAAGTGGTCTTGACCGATTAAGCTAAGAAAATAATAACTATTTAAGGTGTATTGTTTGTTGAAATTGGAGTCATAAAAATCTTTATTTTATGTTTTTTTTCCTTTGCAATATAGATCTATTTTAGATTTTGTATAATCTATTATTGGTTATTTCATTTCTTGAATTAATGCTTCCAAAACCTCCCAAATCCTTTCTCTTAAGGACTTTGATGATGAATACAAGTTCGTCATGAATACATTTAGCATGCAATCAACCATACTGCCTCTTAAAATAGGTTATCCCATATGGTCTGATTAATCAGGCCCGGAAAATTATAGTATTTAAGTCTTAAAATTAAAATTTATATTTTTCAAGATTTTTTTAATTCTATTCTAAAAAGTCCATTATCTATTAGGTAAGTTCTTATGGGTTGTGGTAGTCTATTAAGTCTACATAATTATAAATTATTAAAAAATAATAGATATTAAAAAATAATAGATTTTAATACATTTTTATCTTCATATTTTATTTTTTAAAATTTTTTTAGTCCTCTTTGAAAAAATCAACTTTTTAGTCCTCAATAGTTGACATTTTATGAATTTTTCTGGATCCTCTTTTAGATTTGTCTAGTTATTATTTTAATTTATGACGCGGACAAAACATGACATCGCATATGTAATGCCGTGTCACAAAATAATTCTTAGTCGTATTTAAAAAAAAATAATTTTATTATATTATTTAGGGTTAAATATATTTCGTTTTTTATAAATTATTAAATTTTATTTTTGATCACTATAAATTATCAAATTTTATTTTTGATCTCTATAAAAATATGGTATATTTTAGTTCTTACAAAATTATTATGTATTTAATTTTAGTTCATGTTGTTAAACTAATGTGTATTTTTAAATGATTATTTTGCATATATGTTTAGAATATTATGAAAAATTTCTCGAAAAAAAAAATTCAAAATTTGATTTCTAAACCAAAAACTTTATTATTTTTATCAATATCTTTTTAATTTTATAAAATTTATATTTAATTCACCTCATTTTAAAAAATTATAAAATTTAATAAAGAAACATTTGATAGTAAACCTGAATAAAATTATAATAGTAATTAAATAGTTTATAAAATTTTAGAAAATAATAAAGACTAAACTGCATGAAAAAAAATTTTGTTAAGACCAAAATATATTATTTTTTTAATAAGAACTAAAATAAAATTTGAGATATTTATATGAACCAAAAATATATTTAATCTTATTATTTAATATAATTAATAATTATAAATTAAATATAATTTATTAAATAATTAATTGAGCTGCGTGTCATTAAATCTTTGGTTAATTCTCAAAATAATTTATTTTGGAACACACACCATAATGCTTTACCGTTAATGCAACAACACATTTACGTTCATTTCGTACTTCAGTTTTTATATAAATTTGTCCTACTTTTCTCCTCACTCACACTGTGAACAGCATCAACATGCCTAACGGGAATTCATATATAACTTCTGTATTAAAGCCTCATATGCAGAATGCATATAATGTAACAATTGTACTTTTGTATCAAACTTTTTGTTATAGAAAGTTGTAGCTCCAATCCAACTACAATTTTTCAATTTTTTAACTACCAAATACTAACCTGCAACCATAACTCTTCAAGCATTGTGTAATACGTTGTTGCTTTAAATTTTTTTTATAAAGAAAATCCGTTTAAAGTTGGATAGTTCGAAATCCATTTAAGACTGATTTTAAATAGTAATTTTCGAACTCAAATTACAACAGAATTTTTTGCCTCAACTCTAAAAAACCCGAGACTCGTTAGAACTAATCCATTTAAAATTGAGTAATCTATTCTGAGAGCTCGACCTATCACTAAATAAACGTGAGATTTCACGAAGCAAGTCAAAATTTTGAAAATTCAATTATGAAACCTACATACCAATAAATTCAAGATGCTAGACATGACTCATTCATGTCCCTTCTTACAAATATGATGGCTTAGAGTGGACTGTCACACAACGTATCTTTTTCAAGTATTACCTACCAACACATTATTCTTCCATGTTATGGATCGGTTTTTACAACTACAATTTCTCCTAATGCCATATTTTTAACCATGGTACACATCCTTACCCACGTTGTACCACTTTCTACACCAGTAATTTCAAATCACCACATCCAAGCTAATATTTTTGCTGCTATGGAAAACATTGCACCACAACCACCACCTCTATTAATGATACTCACTTACAGGCATCCCTAACATACCTTCTCAAAAACACCCATTTATAATTTCCTCCATTCCATCAATACCACTCACCAGGAAGAATTATTTAAATTTAGACAAGAGGATTCAATCATTGATTACCAAGTAAATTTTGAGTAATTGAGAAATCAAGTTTTGAGATTATCCCCAAGAAATCATTCTTATTTGTTTTATTTTGGCATAACACTTAAATTCCGAAATGAGATGTCTATTCAAAGACCAATTTCCATCTCTCAAGCTATTGAGTTTTGTTAAGCTCCTTAAAAAGATCCAATAGCTTTCTAAGTGAATGATTTTTGTTTGGAAAGATTTTGGTGATTTAAAAAAAATAAATATATATTTGACGTTGATCAAGCACCTTTAGTTTTTATCATTTATAAAAAATTATTTTTAAAGGTTGTTTTACATTAGTAGCAATTATTAATTAAATAACAAATAAAAAAAATGAAAAAAAAATAAAAAATAAAAAAATAAAATAAAGGGAGGGAAATACACTATCAAAAACAATAAGTGAAAGAGTAAAAAATAAAATAAATGGGCTTAAGGCCCCATTCTAAAAAATAAAAGCAAAACAATAAATAATAAAAAATAAATAAAAAACTGAAACTGGAAGTGCAAAAAAGATTTACACAATCCTAGCACCACATGGCGCATGCTCTGGTGGTGGATTGGTCAATCAGTCAACACTGATTGGACGGTCCAGATTAAATATGGAAAAAAGTCTTTCTTCTTCTTCATGCAAAGAACAAATCCAACCTTCCACCATTAACAAGTCATAACTTTTTTCATTTTTCATGAAATTAAGCAAATGAATAAAGAAAATTCATATGTTCAATCTTACAAACAACATGACATGCTCAGAGTTAATAAATAAACAACAAAAAATTTTGAAAACCATAAAAAACACAACAACATATATTTGCTCGATTAGGTTATTCTAGCTACTCTCATGACAAATAAATCATGATTTCGTGCTAAGGATGATGTCGTGAAGCTACTGAATATATTATTTATGTGAAACAAGCATCAATTCACATTTTTCCATTTTTGCTCATGGAGGTTCAAGAACACTCAAAATCTTGATTTTCAAAAGTGAGAGTTAATGAAGTTTTCATGCAATTCAATGGTGATTATAATACCAATTAAGTGCAGAAACATAACAATGCAAAGAAATTCAATAAAAAACAAACATTAGAATCTACCTAGATGAATTTGATCAAGAACACGAAGAACACGATGTACTTTTTTGATCGAATTTGAATGGAATGATTTGTATGGTATAGGGATAATACTCTTATTATTGGATTTGGAATTTCTTCATTAACAAGAAGATATTCACAAATCAACTTAGAGTTTCAAGCTTTTTTTTCAAAGTTTCTTAAAGATGAAGAAACTTGAAATTTGGAGAGTGATTTGTTCAAGGTTTTGCCTCTATTTCTGTGTATGATTCTTGGTGTCATTTGTGAATGAAATTATGTTAATTTATAGACTTTAATATTAGGTTAAAGGGTGGCTTAGGACTTATGAAAAATGTAAAAAGGGTGATTGAGTTTGGATAAATGTGAGTGCATTTAAATGTGATTTTGAATTTATCATGAAAATATCTCAATTCTAATCTAAAATTCCGATGCATTGTATAATTTGATGAGATCAAATGAGGTGTAAATGAGAAGTGTGATGAGGCAAAACAAATATGATCATTTTTTAGTGTCAAATTCTTGACTTTTTGTTGACTTCTTAAAATTAATTAAATGATAAGTGAAATGAAATAAAATGATGATAAAATGAGAATTTATCTTGGATTCTATTCCTATTGAAATTAATATTTTTGGTTTTTTATGCATATGATGCAAAAAATAATAATGCATGAACTATGATTAACTTCAAATTTAATTATGTCGACTTTTGACTTTAAATAATGCAAGATGCATATAATTAATGATATAAATTTATTTAGAATGATATACACCATAATATTTATTCAAATGATCAAATATTGACTTTTTAGTTGATTTTAGATGGAATCAACTTGAAATAAATGAACTTTGCATGACATATGATGCATGTAGTGTACTTAGAATATTTTTGTAATTTTAAATGAGGTAAAACTTGGCCTAATGCTCATGATATGCAAAAAGGATTATGAAAATCTTGGGACAAAATTAGGATATGACACCTGTTAATTAGTCTCACTAATAGAGATCACACCACACCACTACTCCCCCTTTTTTCCACAATTTGGCAAAAGGTTAACACTTCAAAAATAACATCTAGAAGCGAGTCATGCAGAGGTTAGTATGTTAGTACATACACAACCATATCATGAGTTAAACCACCATAATCATCATCAAAAGATGCACAAGCATAAGATTAGTTATTATATATAATTATCAAAAGGCTATGAAGCCTTTATAGATAAAAAGTACAACAAACTAAACTGAAAATAACTGCAACTCAGCCTTCAATATGCATGTAGAAGGCTCCATACTTCGACGTCTTAGATTAAAAGGCAATGCAAGCTGTCCTCGTCTAACTCAGAATCACTTGAATCACTGAATTCCATTAGCTCTACAATAATAGCTTCCATCTTTCTTATCTTCTCAGGATTCATATTTGTGAGCCAAATCTTCTTAATGCTAAATGTTCCTCCAGAGGGTTCAACTATGGTGATGTTATTCCCAACATGTCTATCTTCCTTGACCTTATTTAACCAAGACTCCAACATACCACCAACATCCTTAGGAATCTCAAATTTCTTTGACATGGAAGCTCCCACTTGATTGTCTAGGCAAATCTCTAGAATATTGATTCATGTTATGCGGATGAGCTTGAAGGACCAGAGAGAGATCTGTAACTTGAATGTAGGATAAGAAAAGATGCATTTTTCTTGCTTGTAACGTTAACCCGTTTATACCACACTTAATATAACAAAAGAATCCGCCTTATTTTTCATGCCAAGGTGGTATTAGGGGAGAGAATATCTTTTTCTCTTTTGGCACAACTCCCTAGCATTGATTGATATAGATCCTTACAGATGCAAATACCAATGGCACACCTCATTTTTCAAAATAATTTGCATCCAAAACTTTAGTGAGAATGTCCCAGATCAATATCATTACATCTTGTCTTAGATTATACTCCTTCAATGTTTTCTTTATCCGGAGAATTTTCCAACAACTACTCCTTGCAGTAATGTATTTAACTTCATCAGAAGACAAGGTCACAATGATTTATTCCTTTCTAACCCACAATATTATGATGTTGACAAGAAAGAAGCGTCCATCAAAAGTAGTATTCTTATCACCTACAACACTATTATCATAGGTGTAAGTTAACACAAGTTTATTCCTGTCTATCACACACTTTCTCTAACAACTGCACAACTTCTTCAAATGTCAAAACTTCTTTGGAAAACTTCCTTTCTAGACCTATCTTCTTGTGAAACAAACACTTCCTCTTCATCATGTTTTCCTCATGATAGAAGGACATTTTGATTGAGAGAATCTCTTTGTTATCAACTATTTTCTATATGATTAACACTATGTCCACAATATGCTATAAACATTCTGCAACAGTAATTAACAGTATAACAAGCGACAACAATACATTCACGCATATTTCAAACACCAACATCATACCACAACATAAAATTATACACATTACAACATAATTACACATCATTTAAAGTATTTCCATAAATATGAAACTATTTTTAAATGAAAGTACATTGTTTCAGCTCTACAGCTTCAAACGGAGCGTCAATCGGACACCCAAAACTCAAGATATGAAATTTTAAAGTTTCATAAAAATCCTGTCAGAATAGTGGTAATTGATTACACCATAACCCGTAACCGATTGCACACACTCCTAGTAGCATGAATACTCTATTTTTTGCAATGGTAACCGATTGCGCCAAAAGTGGTAACCGATTACACCCTTCCCAGAAACCTAGTTTTTATAAGTTTTGCCTGTGTAATCGGTTAAACCATACCTGATAATCGATTACACTCATGAAAAATCCTATTTTTGAAAGGTTATCACAGCTGTAATCGATTACGCCAATCCTGTAACCGATTACCACTACGACAGTAGCAGATTTTCTGCTATTTTAGTGTACGAAAATCAATCCCATCCCAATTCTAAAATCCCAATTTTCATGAAATATTATGTATTCAGATTCTACAGATTCAGTCCCATCAACATACAAATCTCAAACATTCACCAAACACCAATTCATCCCATATACAAACAACACATTATCATAAATCAATCCATTCAAAAAACAAAAAGAGATGTACACAAGTATAAAGATAAAGCATTCTAACAAGAGCAATCATAATCTCCAACCCACAAATCATTATGCAAATTCTCATAGAATTGAAATCTCACCCATACCTTGGTATTCCAAGCAAAGAGTTCTTAAACCTCTAATAACAGAGTTTTTCCCAGTTGAGCCCTAGCCTTGCTTTTCTCTTCTCTTCTCTGTTTTCATGTACTGACACTTCTACCTTACCAATTCCCCATTTCTCTTATTATATTATTGTTATTATTAACCCAACTAATTAAAATAAATAAAATCCCCATTAAATATTTATTTAATTATATTACTATTAATATTATTTTATCTAATTAAAATTCTAATTAAAATAATAAAAGTAATAATATTCTGCCACCACACCATGTTCTACACTTTTGCTCACACAATCCAACACCTCTTTTTCTAATTTCTAAGGTTATCACTCTACACCGAAGGATCTCCTAACACACCAAAACACCAAACAACACACAATATCACACAATTTAATTACAATTAATTAATTAAATAAATCGAGGTGTTACATTCAACCCCTGATTACTTTCTTCAAATGTCAGAGCTTCTCTTGGAGTCTTTATTTCAGTGGCTATCCAATTTACATACTTTCTCTTCAGCATATTTTTGTAGGGATCACCATGTTCAGTAGTATCTTCAATAACTTGTTCAAACCCAGCATGAACTCCATTGTTCATAGTAATAGAGCCTTCATAAACACGGACACCATTATCAATGTTATCATTCACCTTCACCATATGATCCTTTTCATGAGTACTCTTATCATGAGACTTGGTTAGTTTCTCCATGATTCTCTTCATTATGTTGGCACAAAGAAGGTCTTCAGTTTCCATATTCAAGTACCTATTGAAGAAGGCACTTTTCACATCCATCTGATAGAGATTGAACTTTTGAATACATGATAGACTTGGAATCCATTTGATGACTTCAAGATGGGCCATACGATCATAGAAACTTCCATCTTCATCAGCATATATCATAGAGGTTCTTGATTCAACACTTTCATCATTATGGGTAGTCATATCATTTATAGATTGTGCTTATTTAAATCAATCTATACTCCTTGCCTTTATTAGTACAAATGCTTTCATTCACACCTTCACCCAATGTCTTCACATCTTCAAATGCATGATCATGGTTATTAACACCACCATCATCTATAGAAATATAAACCTCAACATCTTCATGAACATGGTCATCATTCTCCTTATGCACTTGAGACTCTGTCAACATCTCGTACTGGATGTGTGCCACGTTCTTATCTCTACTAGTAGTTAGATCAGACTTAACATCAAGTGAAATATTATGGAGAGAAATATTTAATACATACATCTTGCAGCTAGACTTCGATACACCGGTTTCAACTTCACCAAACAACCTATCATGTTTTTGGTTAATCACAAACTATTATGTTTTTAGTTAATCGCCCCTTTATCAATCTTGAGACCTTGTGAACTCCTGATGTTTTTCTTAGATATGACATTCTTCATGAGAACTTATTTACCCTTGTTGGTGACACTACCTTTGAAATTGTAGAATTTCATATTCATCCTTTGGTCACATGATGATTTATGATTTTCAAATTAGTCTTTGAGTCTTTCATCAACAACACCTCCTATTGACTAGGATTGGTCAAATTCCTTAAGCCCTTGATTCTTCCCCTTTCTTTATAGCCAGGAGTGACAAAATATTGTCTTTCACTTGAGAAACCTCTGCCCACTGTAAGTGCTATGGAGCTAGTTGAGGTGGAATTATGTTTCCACTTCTTCTTGTCATGGACTTTCTTACATCATATGATCTTCAGCTTCTTTAGTTTTTCTTGTTGAGGATATCTATGCAGATAGTAGAAATAAGGCCGTATATGTCCAGATTTACCACAATGGTGACATTTCAGAGGCAATATCTTGTTACTACTGTGAAATGGTGACACATGTTGTACACCATGTTATGACATGTGGTTCAACCTTAGTATCTCAAACTTCTTTTCAGGTAGAACAACCTTCTATAAGGGAATCTTCATCTTTTTCGTGCTCATCTCAAATCTTATCCTCTTCATATCTATAAACATCTCTCCAAACTCCATCATTCCACCAAGTATATTTAAACTATTTTTCAAATTACTTTCATATTGTATCATGTTTTCTAGTTTGGGGTTTAGTGAATAAACCTATTTTTTACACATGTGATGGTTGAGGAAATTTTCTTGGTTTCCTTCTGAAGAACATCTATGGTTTTCCTATGGTTGTCTATTGTTAAGAACCCTTATTCAGACTTAGTGTGCAATAGACTAAATGATGCATCAAGCTCTTCTTCGTTCAAGTCTTCACAATTGAACTATCCTTAAGACTTAAATCTACCAGAATAAGCCATCACATTATTGGCAGATTCTCCCTCACTTTCATTATTAGAATCCGACAAAGTGATGAATAATCCCTTTTTCATTCTTTTTAGAAAGGTAATACTTATACTTTAATGTGTTAAAAGCCTTCACATTCAAAGCACTGAGTACCCTTTCCATCATTTTGGTTTTCTTCACTCTTGCCTTTGTTCTGGGGACTGATGTTAGACCTTTTGTCTTGGATATTTTTCCTCCAATTTCTGTCCAGATACTTCAAGGAATTGTTGAACTTTTTCCCAAGAAGAGCTATATCATTTGATAAGCTCTATTCTTTATCATCTTGAAGTCCTTATTCCTTATTGTTGGAAAGAAAGGCTATACCCTTATTTTTCTTTTTAGCCTTGTCATTAATGGATATCTCAAAGGTTTGTAATGAACCAATAAAGTCATCAACCTTAATGTTGCTCAAATCCTGAGATTCTTCAATAGCAGTCACTTTCATATCAAACCTCTTAGGAAATGATCTGAGAATTTTTACTTGCAAGCTTTTCTTCAGACATCTTTTCACCTAAGGAAAATGAGGTGTTGGAAATATCACGTAATCTTATCTGAAAATCAAAGATAGATTCACCTTAATTCATCCTCCGATCCTCAAACTTAGTAGTAAGGAGCTACAACCTTAACATTCCAACTCTGGATGTGCCTTCATGTGTAGTTTTCATAATCTCTCATGCTTCTTTATCCTCTGCACATGTGTTAATCAACCTAAACATGTTCTTATCCACACCATTGAAGATAACATTCAAAGCCTTGGAGTTTCCAAGAGCTTCATCATCTTCAGCATTAGTTCAATAAGCTTCTAGCTTCAAGCTAATTATTCCATCTTCAGAAGTAACCACTAGGTCCTTTTACCACAACTTTCCATGCTTTATTGCCCATGGATTTGAGGAAGACAATCATCATAGACTTCCAATAATCATAGTTGGCGTCACCCAAAACAGGTGGTTTGTTGACTGATCCTTCATCTTTCGTTGTGGTTTGAGAAGAATTTATCTTCCCTAGATCTCACCCAATAGGATAGGGTACCTGCTTTGATGTCAATTGGAATTTTGTTCTTCAAGGGACATATGTCAAACACGATTTCCTAGAAACTGGTTCAACAAGTTAAACCATAATCACCATAACTTATACAAGATAATGAAGCAGAAAAGTTATAAATAACACAACCAATTGGTAACCCAATTCGATGCAACCCGTGCCTACGTCTAGAGGGTTGGCTTCCAACCTGAGAAAGGAAATGAATTATTAGTAGTTTAGTACATTTAATCTTACAAGCAACAATAAACCATATGTTGTTTAACACCTATTTCTAACACTACCCAATGACTTTCTATTTATGACTCCCCATAAATATGAGACACCCTATCACATTCTTTTTCTCTCAAACACTAACCTCTTAGTGTTTAGTTTAAAATCACTAAACCCTAGTTATCAACTTCAATTAACAAGATAAATGATGTTGCATTTACAACTCAACTAGACAAACCTACAACTATGCCAAGTTACTAAAACATAGTGTGGTGTACATACAACAATAACAAGGACTCTAAACAAACCATAACACTATAAAAATATCCAATGTATTTCTTTCTTTATAATGAGGGTTTTGATCTCCTTATATATCATAATAATTACAAGCTTTTCTTTGTGGATGTTTGATTTGATTTCGTTTGGAAATAATGCAAAATATGTTGGATACTATTTGTTCCATAAGATATGATTTGTTTCAATTTAAATTCAAATTTAAATCTCCATTTAAATCTGAATTGAACTTCTTCTAGCTGTTAAACAAATCACCTAACCATATTATTAAACCAATAATAATAAAATCTGATCTAACCTTTAACTAGAAAGTCTTCCAAACTGCAGCAACAATAACCTGTTGCGTAAGACCCAAATGTCATACCAACATGCTGGGACATCGTGTCCAATTGGGAAAGAAGAAGTGGAGTTAATGGTCTTCTTGCAAATTTTCTAATGAAGAAAGCTCAGATATTCCTAGACGCTATGAGTTACCATGCCTTTGAAGATGTCTTAGCTCTCTTGATCTATGGGCTGGTGTTGTTCCCCAATTCAGACCATTTTATAGATGTCAGTGCCATCAACATCTTCCTTGCTCATAATCCAGTGTCTACATTGCTCGGGGATATTCTGCATTCACTCCATACCCGTACTATGAAGAAGCGAGGAACTCTTATGTGTTGTATGCCTCTACTCTATATGTGGTTTATTTCTCACCTTCCTCAATCAGTAATGAAGAATGAGTTAGGCTTAAGATGAAACCAAAGGTTAATGTCTCTTTCTCACTCTAATATCTATTGGTGTCCTTGCTCTCAAGAAGACATCTCTTTTATTGATATTTGCGGAGAATTTACCAATGTGCCACTCCTTGGCATTAAAGGAGTCATCACCTATAACCCTTCTTTAGCCCTACGTCAGTTTGGTTACACCCGGAGGGATGATCCTCATGATATGCTCATCCAGAGTATTGTGTTTGACTATTTAAATGATCCGCAAGGTTATCGTTAGAGGTTCATCCATGCTTGGGGCATGGTTAAGAAGACTGATAGTAAGACTTTAGGGCGCAAGAACTCCATCCCTTCGGAGCCTTACCTCAAATGGGTGTGAGCTCGTACTCAAAGTCTTATGATGCCATATGTTACTATCTTACTAGTGATCTCAGAGCCTATTATTCAAGGGGATGGGTCTCGTATCATTCTTCATCCTGATATGCCGACAAACTTCGAAGGGTTGCAAAAGTCTTGGATCCAACTCAAGGAAGAACGGGACACCTTTGAGAACCAATTTTATGCCAGTGAGAAGAAAGTGTTGGAATTGACGAAGCAACTTCATGAAGAGCGGGTTCTTAATGCTTACATTAATTCCAAAAGGAAGCGTCCATGGGAGACCTAGGAATTTCAGAAGTTTCTTTTGTCATTTCTTTGTAACTTTTGTTTCAGTTGAAGCTACTAATAAAAAGTCTTTTGCTTCTGTTTTGTTTAAAAGAGTTTAAATCCTATAAGGTACTTGGAAACATTGCATAAGCATATCATGCATATCATCACATAAATAGGTTTCAAGGCAAGTTTCTTATCTTTTCGCTGTTTATTTCAGGAAAAAATGTCTCTCGAATAGAATATCAAGGACCTTCAAACCCAAAATGCTCAATTCCAGCAGATGTTCCTGGCTCTGGCTAAGGGACAAGAGGATCTGAAGGCTCTCATATTGAAAGACAAGAAAAAGAAGACAAATAAACTAGTGGGTGTCCTAAATATGGGAAGGAGAATCAAAGGACCAGTAAAGCGAGCTCTAGAATTCGCAACTCTGTCAAATGAGGGAGACAATCAGGAAGAGAAGACAAACAGCTGGAGGATCGTCTCAACGCAATGGAAATTCAAAGGGTACCTGGTCTGGATTTTGAAGAGTTAGGGATGGTTTCTGGAGTGGTCATTCCACAGAAATTCAAGGTTCCCGTGTTTGCTAAATATGACGGGGTTTCATGTCCTAAGTTGCATCTGAGGTCTTATGTCAAGAAGATCTAACCTCACACCGCTAATAGGAATTTGTGGTTGCATTTCTTCCAGGAAAGTTTATCAACGACGCAGTTAGAGTGGTTCTATCAACTAGAGGGAACCAACATCCGCAACTGGTAGGATCTGGCTGCTGCTTTCTATAAGCAGTACTAATACAATGCTGACCTCGCTCCAACCCATGCTCAACTTCAAAGCATGTTTATGGGTTCTAGCGAGGGCTTCAAATATTACACCCAGAAGTGGAGAGATCTTGCAAGAAGAGTCCAACCTCCTCTGTCTAATAGAGAGCTGGTAGATATGTTCTTGGGTACTTTGTCAGGCCCATTTTTCAACCATCTGATCGAAAGTTTTTCTGTCGGGTTTACTGAGCTAATATTGACTGGTGAACGAGTATAAGCTGG